TTCAAACACTTCCCAAAGTACTTCAACTCATTTAATTATCTAGAAAAGATTTTGCAAGAAAAACTTACTTCGTTTCCATCCATAGTAGGACTCAATATAGTCTCCAAATCGAATATATAGTTAAAAGAACTTGACAGTTCGATTGAAGTTACTTTATTGTAAGAGAAATAAAGTATATATATAGAAAGAAAAAATGAATAATAAGAAAATAGAATTCCACAAAGATGCATTTTGTAAAGATATACATTCTTTATCAATACTTTAAATAAAAAATGTGAGGTGTTGCTTTTGGTATAATTTGTATGCTATGCTTTTAATAATAATAAATGTTTGTTCCTTGAAGCATAACAAAAAATAACTATGTTCGTAGCGCGACTGCCTTGGGCCTTCCGAAGACATCCACTCAATAGGTGAGAACTTAATTCCTCATATTTTTCTTGACAAAATATCAGTTAAAAATAAGTTATTTATATGCCTACATATTAAATACTAGTTAATGATAAAAAAATGATAGTATTAACAACATCAGTCCTACTAAAATCAAGCCTAGCCAAAGGAACTATAGAGCATTAATTAATGTATTGGCAGATCACTGACTGGTCGCATCACATGCGCACAAAGTAAATTTAATTCGGAGCAATACTTGTAGGAAATACAACGAGCTGAATGAAAATAAAACTCTGAAGAATCTGCTTTTTAACTGTTCGGCTCTCTCGAGAACTCGACAAAAAAATTGGGGGCTGTCAGGCTTACAGGACTAGATCACAAACCTCAAGTTGCTATTGAACTCTGAATGCAATTCGCTAATAAATCGCGCATTCTAAGTAATGCACACTATCGCTAGAAATAAGACTCTGATCTAGTATCGCCATGGACCTTAATCTACTAACCTTTAATAAATTTCATAAAATAAAATAAATTAATTAATTAATAAATAAATCATCGCATTTCGAAATGTAATTGTTGGAAATAAATCATTCTGTATGATGACCATAGCTATATCTACGCGGAGTCAAAAAGTGTCATCACATTTGGAAGAGTAAGTCTTTCAAAATGAGGCAACCTATATAATATCCATATCTATAATTATCCGGTGTCGAAAAGTGTCATCGCATTTCGGAAATAAAGTATTTTGAAATGAAACGCCATATTTATGAAACGAATATTTATACCTATAATTTTTCGAAGTCAAAAAATATTATCACATTATATAGAGCAAGTATTTTAAAATAAAACACTCTGTATACTATCCATATCTTAATTTTTCCTCAGTCAAAAAATATTATAAACATTTTTCGAATAAGCTTAATGAGTACTGTGGATACTATCCAAATGTTAACCTGTTAGTTGACGAAATCCCCTTCTATTGACAGAAGTAATTTACACCGCACATAAACTTTTTAACTTATACTCAAAAGAATCAATCAATAAATTTTGCTTTGAAGTTAAATATGACGAAAAAAAAACTATTTTTAAATAAGAATTAATTGAATACCACCAACAAATATTTTATATTTAATTAATTGAATTTTTTTTTTGCATTAACATCATGTGTTTCGAGCGCTGCCAAATACCCAACGTCAATAGTCTTTAGCACATCTTTGGTCTTTAGAAGCAATTTAGGTTCAATTTAGTTGTAAACAAAATTTGCCCTTAAGCTTTAAGAGAAATAAGAGGAAATACGCCGGTTGATTTGCTCATCATCTATGCTTTCAATATTGAAAGATCACTCAGAATGCCTCTCTCTTTTTTATTTAAATGAAAACACTTGCCACTTAGCACTTGCTTTCTATTTCATTGAACAGCTAAGCGAAGAGCACCTGCTAAGCACTCGCTTCACAATTATGTAGAAGTGAGTGCTGTTAAGAGAGAGAGAATGCGCTATTTCATACACTTTGCGCTCTTGTGCATGGCATGTGCTTAGAATGGGCTTAAAATATAATTTAATTTGTTTTTGTTGCTTTGGTTAATACTTGTAAAACAACAAGGTCAATGCACAAATATTTTCCTGCCTTTGCGTTTTTGTTTTCATATTTATTTTTTTCTTTTGTATTTGTTTATTTTGTCTGCCTTTTAGTCATTTTGTTACTTCAATTCTAAGTGTGTGCGGCTTAAGCACAGAGCAGAACAATAACCGCTTTTAATTATAAAAAAAAACATGTTTAGAATTTATACTGAATGTGAGTAACAGCGCGTCATATGTTTTGCACTGCAATTAATTTTAATTATTTTAAAATTAATATTGGCTGTGTAAATTACTGTACATATATTTTTAAAAAAATAAATTAAAAATTGAACAAACAAAAAAAATTAATTTTACTCCAAACTCAAAACAAAAACTGCATTAATATACACATTAAAAATTCAATGACCGATTTATTAATTAACAGCAATACATTTAAGATATGTAATTAATGCTTGTACTTGCTATCTAATTAATTAAAATTCAGTTTTATTATTTAGTCATGAAATAAATTATACACAAACAAGCAATTAAAACGTTCAGACCTTTGATCTGAAATTTCAGAACACTTAAGGGCATTTATAAATACAAAACTAATATAAAATATATATGTATATAGTATATGCAAATAATTTAAGTCGCATTTTTTTAAATTTAATTCCTTAATATGCAATGATAACTTTATATCTTTAATCCCACAAGGCAATTATTTTAAATCAAAATCAAAGATAACAGCAAACATTCATATTTGCACGTATTTTTTATCGGTTTTATTGATTACAGTCGAACGATAACGTTGAATAAACCAGTGACGAAATTAATTTAATAAAATATAATAAAATTATATTTAAATATTAACACAATAGTCGAATTGAATAGAAGGCAATATAATATGTCTGGTATAAAGCAACTCTCCAGTTATTTTATCTTGTTTGGTGAGAGAAAACTTTTATTTTGGCATTGTTCTGCTCTCTCCAGACAAAGATTTAACTCATCATAATAGTTATATTCGTACTTACAATAAATGGTTAAACTAGATTTAGTGCTCATAATAAAATCTTCCATAGACACTGCACTATCAGTATGAGAACGTGCAATTAATTCACTACCTTATAGTATGTTTCCACTGCTTACTTAGTAAGTTACTTAAGTAACATCAAAATTTTGTTCTGTTTGTTCTGTTTAGAAAAATTTTAGTTGATAACAAAATGAATGTGTAACTGATGTATTGAATCATTTATATATACATATATATATATACATATATATTTTATAAATCTATTACTAAGTCAATTAATGAAAACAAAGATTTCATTAAATTTTTACTTTCTTAGTACGTTTGTTTATAACTCAACTGTTTTTTGTTTACATTTTATAAAACATATGACAAATATTTCAAATCTTGGTAATTTCCTTTGTAGGAATTTATTTTTAAGGCTTGCATTTGACATTTTTGCTCTAATTTTCATTGATTTGTTTTTAAGTAAGTTAAAAAGAATGAAATTTACTTAGTAAGTCAAACTTACTAAGTAAGCAATAAAAACATGCTCTCTGAATATTACTCTCTTCAGACAAAGATTATATTCCTCAAAAAGTTTCTACTTTGAATAATTCGCTCTATTAAATTGGGTGATCAGAACTAAAACTTCTGTCGAATTTATCAGTGTGAGGACGTGAAAGAAAAACTTATTGTATCACTATAGTATATTACTTTCATCAAACAAACATTTTATTTATGTTATATGATTTCTACTACAAGGAACTGCCAAATCTAGGTAAAATCGATTTAATAAAACTTTTATTGTTCATTATGGATGCGACTAGTCTGTGACTGCTCAGTCTTGATCTTGGCCAGGAGGAGGTCATTGGGTCGAGAATTACTCTACGCTTCTGACATTAAGACGTCCTCAATGGCTAACATTCTGATTTTCATTTGGTAGTCGGAATGTCATCTGTTCGGTAAGGGCCTGTTGCAGCACAAAAAATTAACAGTAATAATTAATAATTAGTATTGAAAAACTGCCTTAATTTTTCTAGCTCCCTAGAAACAATTCCAGTGCTCCGCTCCGTTGGAAGCTGGTTTAATAATTAGTATTGAAAAACTGCCTTAATTTTTCTAGCTCCCTAGAAACAATTCCATAAAAATAGTTCATATGTATGAATGAAAAATGATATTACTGATTTCATAAAAAAACATTATGTTGGCAACTCTAAACGTTATCAATCAAAGATATTACATACGGATATTACCGGCTACAAAATCAAAATTTCTGCTTCTACACAAGAAAAAAAATATGGTTCGCTTATCAGCGACAAGAATTACCAAAGTAAAATTTAAGTTTGAATTCAAAAGTTTGAGAACAAAAAAAAATGAAAACACCAACAACAACAAACAAAACAAACGATTCAATGAGTGTAAATTGTGGCCGCACAAGTGCAAAGTACGATAAACAAACTAATTTTCAATGGAACAATAACAAAAACAACAACAACAACAATCACAGCTAAATTAAAAACTAATGTGAGAATCACATTCATATAATAAATTAAGTAACAACAACAAAAGCCAAAAGAAGAGCTCGCCTAACGGCATAAAAAGCCAGAGAAGAGTAGAAGAGCAGAAGAGAACATTTTGCAGCAACCGTGGGAGCATGCAAGTTTTTTTTTAAAAAAAATAACGCCGCGGAAAGCATTGTGCGTTCTCAAATATCAGTTGAAGTGCAACAACGGAAAGGCGCGATCATCGGGTGCGAAAAAACGCCCGCGACGGAAGTGAATAAAACAATTTCCATAGAAAAAAAAATAAATAAATTTTAATGAACTACACTACAAAAAAAAGTACATGGGAATTTTGTGAATTAATTTACGTACAAGTCTATATGTGTGTGTGTGTGTATGTTTTGTTATAGCATTGTTTTTGTGCAAGTTAATATTATTTAAAAAAAAATTCTTATTATTTTAATTACTTAATTGTGTCCTTTAAAAATTTCTGTGAATAAATAAATTAAATTAAAATTTACACAATTTTATACAAAAAACAAAAACAAAAAACGTAGGAAAAAAAAAACTTAATATGACAAAGTATCAGAAACTGTATAATAGTAATACAAACCTCACAACCGCAGTCGATGAAAGCTTAACATTATTAATTGATGATAAGCACAATAACCGCAACAACAATTGTAATACTATCAACAATTCAACCGGCAGCCACAACAAATACAACAACAACAACAATAACATTGCTGTTAATGATTACACAGCAATGGAAGCCACCGACGAGAATATAATGGAGGTGCCCCTGTTAAACAACAGCAACCATGCAAGTATCACTTTACATGCCATCATCGTTAATAACTGCGGTTCCATTTATTGTTGATAAAATTAATAGCGATCATATATCTATAAAGTTAAACTTCACAATGGTCAGGTGTCTAATAATATGTGAGGTGTACATAAATTTACTTGTTTTTATATATGTATGACAATATTAACCAAGCGATTATGTGTACAATTGTCGTTTAGGTAGATGTCTTTAATTGAGACCACTTATTCACACAAAATAGGCTGAAAGCTTATCCGGTTGTAGTAAATGAATTATATTTTCATACAGTCATCTACAAGTTCAGTTCAAAGCAGGAAGATAACGATGCAAATTAGTTAACAAAGTCTTAATGTCGCACAGCGTTTGAACTTCTAGTCTTTACACATAAATTTAAACAGCACTTAAGTTCATCAAAATATAAACAGTAAAATAAACAAAGCATAAAGTGCCAGCTAACAGTATAATTTATATACTTCTTTTCTTCCTCAAACAGCGCTTAACTTAACCCAAACCTAACTTAAATTCTCAATGTCACATAGCTTATACTTCATATCTTGACTTATACATATAAACAATACTAAACTTAAACCAAATAATAACATTTAAATGAACATAGCACAAAGTGCCAGCTAACAGCATAATTTATTTACTTCTTCTCTTCCTCGTACATGCCAACAGCGCTGAACTGAACCCAAATCTAGCATAAATTCTCATTGTCATATGGTTTGAACTTCGCTTCACTCATACATGTAAACAATACTCAACTTAAATCAAATATTAATAGTAAAATAAACATAGCTTAAAGTGCCAGCTAACAGCATAATTATATACTTCTTTTCTTCCTCAAACAGCGATGAACTTAACCCAAAACTAACTTAAATTCTCAATGTCACCTAGCTTGTACTTCGTCTCTTGACTTATACATGTAAACAATACTCAAGTTAAATCAGATAATTAACAATAAAATAAACATAGTATAAAGTGACAGCTAAAAGCACACTACACTCATATACACAGATAACGCTCAACTTAATCCAAATGTAAACAGTAAAATAAAGATAGCATAAAGTGCCAGCTAACAGCACCAAAGCAACCAAAACAAAACTTATTTCAAAGCCAAAAACTACACAGGAAAAATAAGAAAAAATTTGATCTTTTATATAAATATTTGTAGAAGTATTTATTTTCGAACAAATTATGATCTAATTTACACAAAAAACTTAAACCAGTTACTAATAATAATATAAATTTCTCTGTATTACATTGTATGTATATATTTAAAGAAGTGTTGTGATCGCAGATTCGCTGGTGTAGTTTCTTTTAAGAATCTTGAACGGCACCACTTGGTCGTCGAACATAACGAGTGGCTCTAGATCGCAAACCTGACTGCTCCTGGTTACTCAAAAAGAGTTATCTGTTGCGATACTTAAATAAAACCCTACCCTAGAATGCTAGTACAGCATGGGTTGTGTGCTCGTGACACATTTTCAATATAAAAAATTTTATAATAAACTGGAAATTTAGCAAAAACGACCTTTATTTACGCTATATTATATATCAGTATTTTAGCAAAATCGATTCTGATTTACACTACATTATATGTCGGCATTTTTGGATTTTCTAAATTTCTGAATTTTTTACATGAAGAAATCTACAAGTACACACACTATCTAGAGAATAGATCCAGCAAGATGGACCCCAAGCAATTTTTTATGCTCTAATGGTATGTTTAGATTCTCGAGACATCGGACTTTAAAGTTATAAATTTATACATTAAGATAAAAAAAGAGTAGACTTGTTGATAATGGGAGTGCTCAGGAATCCGCTTTATTTTAATTCTGCTAAGACAAGTATTACAGTTATTTCTAATAATGCAGATAAGTTCACTGCTATAGTTAATATTTGGTATGAAAAATCAGCGTTCTTTTATTCCGATAACTAGAAAACCAAGTAAATATAGTCTGGAATATAATACCCATATATATCAAATCATTTTATATGTATGAAGATTTATATTCAATATGATTATATATATCACACTAAAAATTCTCTAGGATGCCTTTATATTAACATGTTAAAGAACTAGAATATTTTTACTGGACATATAGGTGTCAGTATTATAAATGCAATGATTTCGTTATGAAATTCCCATTTCTTCCCCAAAATAAATCAAACTCTATTAAAGTATTTTATAAAAAATATTTAAAACCTCCCAATTCTTCCAACTTTCAATGTATAATGTCTGTATTATTATAATTTAAGAAGTGCATGTTTCATATTAAATTTTATTTAATGTATGAAATTCTCTAGAATGCCTCTAACATATTAAAGAGCTAGAAAATTATTCCAAACTATCCAGTTCTCAGTATTTTTAAAATCAATTATTTTATTATAAGTTTTAGCACGTAATCTTGAATTCCACAAATATTAGACCAATAAAATCGTATACATTAATATACGCTCAATACATGTAATACTAATACATGTAATACATGTAATACATGTAATAGTAATATAATAATTTATATTGGAAAAACTATTAGTAGTGGTACTTTATGCAAGTACTACTGTTATTCATTTTATATTCAACAAAAACATATCGCATATTATTTTCAGAAAATGGTTAACACATACTGAATACGATATATAGATGCCGAAGAACAGTTACTTATTTTAGATCAGTTATATAGCAATTATATGATATGACTCATTCATTTGGTTCATTTTATCAACTATTTGGGATCCGTTCCCTAAAAGTTTGCATAACTAAGTTCAACATAAAATGTGATGACTAAGTTTTTAAAATCAAATATGGACTTTCATTTATCTAAATTAAGAACTGAAATATTCATTATAATTTAAATATAAACACATAAAATCACAGTTTATAGAGTCAATGAAAAATCAACAAACTTTACTGTTTGATTTATAGAGACCCATGTTAAATGAAAAACTAGCGTATTAAAAAAAATTTCTCAGAATAGCAGATCCATCGTCGATTTGGGACTACTCTGATCCATTCAGATTATTTTTCTTTGTGATCCTTACAGATTTGAATGCTTTCAAATCATTTATGCTAGCATTGTTTTTATCTCTAACATATGGTTTTTGAAAAATCTATCCTTAATTTGGGACTACCCAGATATATGCAGATTATTCTTTTCATGATCGATACACCTTTGAACTCTTTTAAACAATTTGTGTAAGCATTATTTTTCTAATCCGCTTGCGATAACTCTAACATATGGTTTTTGGTAAATCTGTCCATCATCGATTTGGAAGTACCCAGATACATTCAGCTTATTCTTCTTTATGATCTATACATCTTTGAATACTTTCAAACCATAATGCTAACACAATGTTTGTAATCCGCTTTCGACATCTCCAACATATGGTTTTTGGTACCTAGATATATTCAGCTTATTCTTTTCTATGATCTATGTACCTTTGAATACTTTTAAACCATTTATGCTAGCATTATTTTTGTAATCCGCTTGCGACATCTCTAACAAATGGTTTTTGGACTCAACAACACAAACAGCTCTCTCTGTTGACGACCATCGTTGGATACTTCATTTTCCCTCAATATGCAAAAACGAAAAGAAGTTATTCAGTGTTAGATTACTATATAACTGTTCGACGAATGAGGATGGCTCATTAATTCGTTGTATTAATTACTTAAGAAGTAATTTATTTGAGCGGATGTGTAATGATCTGAATTATTATTTTCTAGAATTATACGTCATTGGCAGCTGACTATTCCTATTTTTCCGACTACCCAAATAAATAAATTGTGCTACACCAATACATAACTTCTAAAGAATTAAAAGTAATATAATTGTCAATAATATTATCAATATAATTGATAATAATATTATCAGTAAGATCAATAATTTAAAAATTGCTCAAGTTAAATGTCAGCTGGTAGCGAATAATACTTAAAATTGCTACTGTTCGCAATAGAGATATATGCATAAAATCATTTTTTTTTCCAATTTAAAAAAATTTATTGTATTTTTAAATTATAATTATTTTTAAATTAACATTTAATTAATTATATAGTAAGATACAATTGGTAATTGACATCTCTTTCTTTGCATTGCAAAGGTATCAACAAACTTTATATATTCTTTATATGCAGTGGTATACAGGGTATAGAATTCCTATGTGTACTTACTATATACACTTATTATTTAAGTTAATACCAAAATTACTTTATTCATTCAGTTAAATATATTTATTCACATATTATCCATTCTACAAAATAAAAGGAATTCGCTGATCATAGCATGAATGAGAATTTATAATGAAATATTGTAGTGAATGAGACGTACGATATTTGATTTGTATTTTATTTGGATATGTAAATAGCTTACCTCAACATTTTGTCCGCAGTCACTATTTAAAATACAGGGGTCTATTATATTAAATGTATGACGAAAAACTTAGCATCCAGCGTCATAGTGTTAAACAATGCTGAATATGCATAAATTACGCTACTGAGAACACGTCAAACCAAAAGGCTCCTGAAAGAATCTTTTAGGAGCATAAACCGTTGTTATTAAAAAGGGAAACATTCAGTATGATTCTTGTAAAGAAAAAAGTAGAGACTATTATTAGACTGGAAATGGGCATGCAATAATTTTCAATTTGTAATAAATGAAACTTTGGATTCGCAATAGCATGGACGTTATCACAGAATGTTGAAGCAGCACTGGGAGTGTTCGAGAGTAGTCCTTCTTAAGAACTTTGATCCTCTTTGAGTTGATGACCACTATCGCATCCGAATGAACCACGAGCTGTACGAGCTTTATCACGACATTGATTTAATTCAACGAATCCATATACAGTAGCTTTGGCTGAATTGAAAATGTGATGAGAATGGATGAAAATGCTTCAGCTAAAAAGGTTTTTGAAGCAGTTGTTGAAGAACTAAGGCGTAGAGGTAGACCATGTTTCCGGTGGAGTAATTAAGTTAGGCAGCGCTAACTTCACTT